ACCAGCTGCCAGCTCGGTGGGTGCGTTGTAGGCCAGCTGCAGGAAAGGCAGCAGAGCAGCAAAGGAGGACCAGGGGAGTGCGCGGCGTGAGGGAGGGAAGGAGGGATAGATGGAGAGGAGGGCAGCGCCACCTTGGCCGTGCCGCACCCCCCGTGCTTGCTGCGATGCATCCGGTTGCTGCCTGATGCAGAGCACTCTCCAGTTGGTCTGGCGGCATCATTGCACCCCTTGTATCACTCACATGTGTGTACAGCTTCTCCACACCGCTGAAGCCAGTCGCCCGCTCGTGGTGCTCCTTGATCACTCGGGGCAGCTCCTCGAGCGGCACCACGGGGCACCACCGCCACTCTCCGCTGCGCTTGACGCAGCGGCACAGGATGTCCTGACCGCCAGCGCCCTTCAGCACCTGGAAAAACTGCAGCACCTTCTTGCTGTAGTTCTTGGCGCCGCCCTGCACTGCCGCCCCCCCTCCCGCACCCCGCCGCCGCCGGCCTGAGGGCGCCTGCTCGTCGCCCTGCTTGATCCGGATGATGCCCTCTACATCTGACTTAGTGAGAAACACATTCTTGGCGCCGTTTTGGCGCCGTTCTAAGGCATAAAGGATGACAGGTTGGTTCATAATTTTAAGTTTGCGTCAGCTGCGGGGTGCGGGAGGGGAGAAATAGAAGCCTTAGAGACTCTGAAAGGCGAAGGAAAGGGAGGGATCGCGGGAGAGAGCGTGCCTGATGAGCCAGACGAATCGGGGGAGGTGCCACATCAGCGGGCAACACATGACAAGAGGAAATCACGGACCGGTCACGTTCCCCTCCGGAGGTAACGTTACCTCCGGACCACGGGAGAAGACAGTGACGAATTGAGTTGCAATGCCGAACAGCTCTACCTGCTCGCTGCGGCCACACGTCGCACGCTGCTGTGCGCCATGAGGACGATGAAGGTGCGAGCTCTTGGTTGCCGCCGAGCGTAGGCAACAACGCCCCCAACCCTCCCCTGCCCCGCCCCCCTGCAGGTCATGCTGCTGGTGCTGGTGCTGGTGGCAGCAGCGGGCCGCTGCAGCTGCCAGGCGGACCAAGCCCCTGCCCCTGCTCCCGCCGCCGCCGGGGCGCCGGCCGGCCCGCCGATGCCCTCTGCAGACCAGCTCAACAGCCAGTTCGCGGCGGCCTACAACCAGGACATCATCATCAACTCCGACCTCTTTGCAGACGAGCCCGCCATCCTGTCGGGCGGCCTCGGGTTCACAAACATCATCGGCGTGGTGCGCTGCCACGCCGCCAGCCAGCCCCGCCTCTGCCCCTGCGCCAGTGAGCCTGGCCCGCAGATAGTAGTTTCAGCTATGACTGAAACAATGTACAGGCGTCTTCTCCCTCTGATTATGGCGCTGGGTGACGGTGCTGCGCCCTGGCGCGCCCTGCTGCAGGCCACCGCCTTGAACAGCTCGAGCGAGGGCGTGGTGCGCGCCGCAAACGGCACCTGGCGCTCCAACGTCACCTGCGCCAGCGGCCAGCCGCCGCCCACCCGCGTGCTGACCTCGGCCTCCCCCACCAACATGGGCACGGGCGGGGTGAGGCAGGGGAGCAAGGCAGCGCCGCCAGCAATGCCACGGCTGCCTCGCGTGGGACGCCCCACCGCACGCTTCCCGACCCCGCACCTTCCTTTGCCTACCTCTCCCTCCCTTCCCGCCCGACCGCCGCACTTCCGCAGTTCAACTGCACCTCCGACCATTACGACGGTCTGCCCATCTGCTTCAGCTGGCCGCTGCTGCCCTCCACCATCTCCAAGGAGGCCTTCCTCATCCAGCTGAGCAACGGCACCACCGTCACGCCGCCCTGCGTGGGCATCTCCCCGAACCTGGAGTTCAACGAGAGGCAGTGCGTGGTGACCTTTGGCGAGTTTGGCAACCGCATCCCCAGCGCCCAGGAGGGGTCGCTGTACGTCACCGGGGTCAGCATCGCGCAAGGTGAGGCGGAGCCGCAGGCGGGCAGGCCGCGGGGCGATGCCTCGGCCCTACCACCAGTGCCACCCGGCTGCGCTCCGCGCCAGCGGGGTACCGGTACTACCATGCAGCAGCTTTCCCCTGGCCAGGTCTCGCACCGCTGGCGTGCCACAGCCTGGCCTGTTGCACGGCTGCACATTGCCCGCGCAGGCTCCGGCCTCAAGCTGGTGGGCCCCGACGGCCCCGTCAGCGCAGAGGGCCTGTCCTTCACCAACCCCACGGGTGAGCGCTGGCGGTGCCAGGCAACGAGCAAGTAGCGCTCGCTACCGCGCAGCGCCAGCCCATTTACATCTGTGCTGTGCGGCAACAAGCCGTCCACGTGCACCCACACCGGCGCCTGCCGCCCGCAGGCAAGAGCCCCTATGACGAGGGCAATGGCCCGGTCATCATGGTGGCCAAGCTCAGCGTGCTGTCCGACGTGGGGGAGGGCATCTCCGTGCCCCCGATCGCCAGCCAGGCAAGCACGGCGCCGCCATGCCGCACACGGATGGCAACCGAGGCGGCGTGCTGGCGTGCATGGCCCGCAGCTGAACCTTGAGCAGCCTGGCCTCAAGCATCCAGGCGTGCCTGCCCTCCCCGCTTGCAGGTGGCCTTCCCAAACGGCGGCGAGGCCGTGTACGGCAAGTACAACGGCAGCCTGGGCGCCGACGGCAACCGCTACCGCCTGCGCCTCTTCTACTCCGGAGGTAGGCAGCACGCTGATGCCATCAGTATCTCATTCCCCTGTGCTAGCACTGGTCTCATCCTGGCTCCTCGGCAGGCCTGTGTGGCCTCGCCCTCGCCCCTGAATGCCTGCTGCCCTCCGCGCCTGAGCGCCCACCCGCCTGCCAGCCTGCTGTAGGCATGACGCCAGACGGCGTCATGGCCCTCAAGCCCACAACCTTTGCCAACCACTTCTACCTGCTGGCCAACGGCAGCGACGGCGAGCAGGTGCGCGCGCAGCGGCCACGCATGCATGCGGATCTGGAAGCAGGCGCCACGTTTGCGTGGGCATGATGCATGGCATGCGACGCGTGCTGTGGTCGCCAGGCTGGCGGGTGCCTCACTTGCACGCACGCACGCACACATGCCTGGC